CTGTAAGTAAGTTTTGGGAGAGTGACAAAATTCAGAAATACTTCAGGAAGGTAAAGTAGACCACAACCTACTTCTTGGTAAGATAGAAAAAAAATGTGGGATAGACAGCAGCTCTCTTATTTTGATCAATACTTTTGTTTTTATAGAGGGAGGGGGCCCACAAAGACAAAAATGTATAGGGCCCTCAGAAGTCACAATGCCAAACACAGCTTCATGTACACTTCAAAAATGTACAGCTAGTACTGTGAGAACAATTAACCAGGGTGAGAACAATTAGCCAGTGGAACAGCTTGCCTTCAGAAATTATGGGTGCTCCATCACTGGAGGTTTTCAAGAAGACACTAGGCACAGCCATTTGTCTGGGATGGTCTAGGGTCTCCTGCTCGAGCATGGGGTTGGACTAGATGATCTCCAAGGTCCTTTCCAGCTCTATTCTGATTGACTGATAGTGAAACATCAGCACGTCTTGCTCAACATACTTCTGAGATGAACAGGAAGTTGAGGGCTTCTAAAGAACTTTTTCAGGAGAGGCTGTTCTACATCCCCCACCAATCGGCTGTTCAGATGCTCCCAACTTCTGATTCCCCCGTCCTGGCATGCTGGAACAACCCATCAAATGTCATCTTCTTATTGAGGACAGCAAACTAGTGGTTTGCCTAAAAGCCATGATTGAGACTAGGATCAGCCTTGGAAGGTGTGAATGAAGAGAAATCAGGTCTACACCAGGATGGATGCTGGGCCTGTAGAACCCTGAACAAAGATTGGTCATCTAGACCACATACAGAAAAGGTCAAAGGTTTGCATAGCATGGAGCAGTATTTCTCAACCTTGACCACTTGAAGATGGGTGGACGTCAACTCCCAGAATTCTCCAGCTAGCATGGCTGGCTGGGGAATTCTGGAAGTTGACGTCCACCCAACTTCAAGTGGACAAGGTTGAGAAATATTGCTGTAGAGCAAAACCATACAATGAGCACACATCTGGTCAAAGTGAGTTGAAATAAGGAAAGTATCTTTGGGACAACTGTGACTTGAATGATTGAGAATCTCCATAATTTAGTCTGTTGGTGCTTCTAATGATGATCCTCTCCCTTCTCTTCTCTTCCAGGAGTTTCCCGTACTACGACCACCAGGTGGACATGATGCTCTGTGCACGTTTGCCAACCCTGCCGCCATCTTTCCCGTATATGAACCTTAAGTAAGGACTCCAAAACCTGAGTGCAAGACGACTGCCACCCCTGTGCATGTTTTGTTTGACTGAAAAACTAAGTTGGGTGGCAGCACTGATATTTCTGGGATGTGGTCATAACAGGAAGGAAACAGTCATAAGTCCCTTTTTTTCGGGGATATCATAACTTCAAACAGTCATTAAGTGGATAGTTGTATGTTGAGGACTAGATGTAGCTTGGAGTAATATTTACATATATCTTGGTTGGTTGGTGTTAGGGCTGCCTTGTAAGTAGCTGAGAAAGTACCAGATAGACCAGGGGTCTTCCATCTTGGCCCTTTTGTGACTTGTGGACCTCAACGCCCAGAATTCCTCAGTCAGCCATTTTGATGAAACCGCGGGCTTAGATCCAGACCAGGGATCTTCAAACTTGGCCCTTTTATGGCTTGTGGACTTCGACTCCCAGAATTCCTCAGTCGGCCATTTTGATGAAACCACAGGCTTAGATCCAGACCAGGGATCTTCAAACTTGGCCCTTTTATGGCTTGTGGACTTCAATTCCCAGAATTCCTCAGTCGGCCATTTTGATGAAACCATGGGCTTAGATCCACACCAGGGGTCTTCAAACTTGGCCCTTTTATGGCTTGTGGACTTCAACTCCCAGAATTCCTCAGACAGGCATGCCTGGCTGAGGAATTCTGGGAGTTGAAGTTAGGGTTGCCAGGTGTCCACTATTTGAGTGGAAAGTCCACTTTTTTCACATTATGTTCACTATTTTTTTTCACAAAATAGTGGACATTTTTTTTATTCAAAAGCTTTATGATGAAATGGTACGTAATCTAAAGCTGTACAGTCTACTTTTTTTACTACTTCCCCCCCCCCCCCCCGCTTGTCCGCTATTTTTTGGAAGCAGACCTGGCAACCCTAGTTGAAGTCCACAAGTCACAAAAGGGCCAAGTTTGAAGACCCCCGAGACACACAATCTCTGCCTATTATAGGTAGTCCTTGACTTACGCTGTGAGGCCAAAATTCCTGTTGCTAAGCAAGACAGTTAAGTGAGTTTTGCCACATTTTACGACCTTTCTTGCCACCATTGTTAAGTGAATCACTGTACTTATTAAGTTAGTCACATGAATTTAACTTCCCCGTTTGACTTTGCTGGGTCACAAAAGGAGATCGCAGGACCCCGGGACGCTGCGACCGTCATAAATATGAATTAGTTGCCAAATGTCTGAATTTTGATCACATGAGCATGGGGATACTGCAACAGTTGAGGATTACCTATAGTTCCTTCTGTAGACCTCATCTTTGACCGGCCTGCTTGAGCAGGGGGTTGGACTAGAAGACCTCCAAAGTCCCTCCCAGCTCTATTCTGATTGGTTAGAAGTCCTGATCTAGGACTCCTCACTCAATGTAAAAAAAGATGCTGAGACTCTAGAAAGAGTACAGAGAAGAGCAACAAAGATGATTAGGGGGCTGGGGGCTAAAACATATGAAAAACAATTGCAGGAAATGGGTATGTCTTGTTTAATGAAAAGAAGCACTAGGAGTGACATGATAGCAGTCTTCCAATGTCAAAGGGGTTGCCACAAAGAAGGGGGGGGGGTCAATCAGCCTACTTTCCAAAGCACCAGAAGGCAGAACAAGAAGCAATGGATGGAAAATAATCAAGGAGAGAAGCAACCTGGAATTAAGGTGGAATTTCCTGACAGTGAGAACAATTAATCAGTAGAACAGCTTGCCTCCAGAAGTTATGTATGCTGCAACATTGGAAGTTTTTAAGAAGAGATTGGACAGCCATTGCCTGAAATGATATAGGGTTTGGACTAGAAGACCTCCAAGGTCTCTTCTAACTCAGTTATTCTACTCTACTCTACTCTACTCTACTCTACTCTACTCTACTCTACTCTACTCTACTCTACTCTACTCCTATTCTGTTCTATTCTATTCTATTCTATTCTATTCTATTCCATTCCACTCTACTCTACTCTACTCTACTCTACTTCTATTCTACTCTACTCCTATTCTATTCTATTCTATTCTATTCTATTCTATCCTACTCTACTCTTAGTCTAGTCTAGTCTAGTCTAGTCTAGTCTAGTCTAGTCTATAGTCTAGTCTAGTCTAGTGTACTCTACTCTGGCAGGTGGGTCTCCTTAATCACTTTGTGGTCTCCACTTATTGGAGGTTTCCCAGTGAGGCTGCATGACACCCTATTGGGAATGATGGAATAGATTCCTCCAAGTGAGCAAGGGGTTGAACAAGATGGTGGTCCTCAACTTAACCGCCATTCATTTAGTGATGGTTTGAAGTTGCAGTAGCACTCAAAAAAGTAAACTAAAACCGATCTTCCCAATAATCAGGCGATCAAAATTCAGACCCTCGCCAAGTGGCGTGTATTAATGACAGCTGCCCCGTGTCTTGCAATTCGTGACTTCCCAGCCAGCTTCTGAGAGCTAAGTCAACGGGGGTGAAGCCAGATCTACTTAATGACTCTGTGATTCACTTAACAACGGCAGGGATTTGCTTAACCACCACGAGGGGGGAAAAGTCGTAAAATTGGGTGTGTGGCTCACTTAATAACCGCCTTGCTTAGCAATGGCAATTTGGGTCACAAGTCAAGGGCTAACTGTGGGAACTCAAGACAGCCCTCAGGGCAAGGTGGAGGCCCTGTCAAAATATGCTTTTTTTACATATTTATTTTTATTGCTATAAAATACGAAAATACAAAAGAAAGTAGTAGGGAACAAAGGGAAGGGGAAAAGAGAAGTGTGAAAATGGGGGGGGAGAAAAAAAAGGCATTGATTTCCGACTCTCTCTGTTGCAGTAAAATAAGGCAGCATCGAACCTCAAATTTTTTATCTTCCTACAATAGCACAAACTAGCCATTTCTATAACAACAACATCAATCTAATTAGTAAAACCCAAAATCAAAGTATTGGGGGGTTTTTTTCCCCCACTTCAAGCTCCCTTATAACTTCTGGATCTTCCGGATTTGACTGGCTTCAGCAAAGTTGCGACATCACACGCCTGCTCTAAGTTTCCAGCCCCCAAGATATTTTGATTGCTTTTCCTGCTGCTGCATAGTTTTATGGCTATTTTGGGAAGCCGTGCCAGGTTTTGCGCAACTGCCTCACAGGGGTGGGAACCAGGACCAGGAAGTTGACAATGTGCCTCCAAATTTAAATTAATTGATTCGGCCAATTAATCTAGAACAGGGATGTCCGACCTGTGCAACTTTCAGACTTGCGGACGCCAACTCTTCTCATTTTCTGTCATTCGCTCTTGACCACTCACCCACTTTCACAGCAACTAGAAACTTGTCTTTAAAATTAAAATAGAAAAGTGAAGGAATAGATGGGTGAAACTTCTAATGCCAGGACCTTCAGAGATTAAACTCTCCTTTTCCCCAACCAAATATTTTTGCTGGAAAAAATCACCAACTCTTCTCAACCCTGCCATTGCCTCTTGACCGCTCACTGCAAAACCATGAGTACTAGAAACTTGTCCTTACAATTAAAACAGAGAGGTGAAGGAATAGATGGGGGAAACCTCTAATGCCATGACCTTAAGAGACTAAATCTCCTCTTTTCTCCAGCCAAATATCTCTGCTGGAGAAATCGTGTCTTTTTACAGGTAGTCCTCCACTTACGACCGCAGTTGAGCTCAAAATGTCTGTTGCTAAGCGAGACAGTCGTTAAGTGAGGTTTGCTCCATTTTATGACCTTTCTCGCCGCCCCTGTTAAGTGAATCACTGCAGTTGTTAAGTTAGTCACACGGTTGTTAAGTGAATCCGGCTTCCCCATTGACTTTGCTTGTCAGAAGGCTGCAAAAGGGGATCACGCGACCCCAGGACAGTGCAACCGTCATAAGTACATGCCAGTTGCCAAGAGTCCAAATTTTGATCACGTGAATGCTGCAACGGTTGTATGTGTGAAAAACAGCCCTAAGTCACTTTTTCAGTGCCGTTGTAACCTTCCATGGTCACTAAACAAGCTGTTGTAAGTCGGGGACTACCTGTCATCTAGAGTAGGGGTGTCCAACTTTGGCAACTTTCAAACTTGTGGATGCCAACTTCTGTCATTTGCTCTTGACCACTCACCCACTTTCACAGCAAGCCACGAGTACTAGAAAGTTGTCTTTAAAAATAAAAATAGAAAGGTGAAGGAATAGATGGGCAAAACCTCTAATGCCAGGACCTTCAGAGATTAAACTCTCCTTTTTCCCCAACCAAATATTTTTGCTGGAAAAAAACCACCAACTCTTCTCAGCCCTGCCATTGCTTCTTGACCGCTCACTGAAAAACCATGAGTACTAGAAACTTGTCCTTTAAATTAAAATAGAAAAAGGTGAAGGAATAGATGGGTGAAACCACTCGTGCCAGGACCTTCAGAGATTAAGTCTCCTTTTCCCCAACCAAATATTCCTGCTGGAAAAAATCATGTACCTTTTTCCCCATTGGCCTGATGATTAACCTTTGCAAACTTGTTCATTTCTTTCTTTCTAGACAGGAAATAAGAGGATTTTGTAAGACTAGGGGTAGCCTTCTCTAACTGTTGTTGTTGTTAATTGTGAAGTTGTGTCTGACCCATCGTGACCCCATGGACAATGTTCCTCCAGGCCTTCCTGTCCTCTACCATCTTCTGGAGTCCACTTAAGCTCAGGCCTACTGCTTCCGTGACTCCATCCAGCCACCTCATTCTCTGTCGTCCCCTTCTTCTATTGCCCTCCATCTTCCCCAACATTAGACTCTTCTCCAATGAGTCCTTCCTTCTCATTAGGTGGCCAAAGGACTTGAGTTTCAACTTCAGGATCTGGCCTTCTAAAGAGCAGTCAGGGTTGATCTCCTCCAGGACTGACCGGTTGGATCGCCTTGCAGTCCAGGGGACTCGCAGGAGTCTTCTCCAGCACCATAGTTCAAAGGCCTCCATTCTTTGGCACTCAGCCTTTCTTATGGTCCATCTTTCACAGCCATACATTGCAACTGGGAAAACCATGGCCTTGACTATACGCACTTTTGTTGGCAGGGTGATGTCTCTGCTTTTTAGTATGCTGTCTAGATTTGCTAGCCATCCCCATCTGTTTGGACCCCAAATCCTAGCACACCCACTCATTAGTAGGGAAACCGTGAGGGTTGGTCACTTAGATCCCTTGGAGTAAGAAGGTTGGAAGACTTTGGTGTGGTGGATAGTTGGATATACAGCCCTGGTGGGTTTTGCTAATTCTCTTTTTCTCTCCTTGCAGATGGGACACGAGTCATTTTAAGAGATCTGGAGGGCCGGAGAGGGACAGCTATATTATTCATCCTGAGTTTGTTTCGGAAGCTTATCCCTCTCCGCCATGTTGGTATTAAGAGAGTCGAGAGAGACTGCCATTAAAAAGTGCCACTGGTGACGAATTATGCTGTGGGCTCGTTTGGATTCTTTTTTCCCTATAACACCACGCTCCGGCCAAAAAACATGTCTTTCTGGGGTCCCTGGTTCTTTCTGAGTTTGCTTGTTTTCTTGCAGACGTTTCATGACCCAACTAGGTAACACCATCAGAGGTAGAAGGGAGTGAGGTTTATGGAGAGGAGGAGGAGGAGGAATGTGGAGTCTGCGTGCTCTCTGAGCTTGGTGGTTATCTTGCAGACGTTTCATGACTCAACTAGATAATACCATCAGTGCTAGAAGGGAGTGGGGTTTATGGAGGAGAGGAGGAGGAAGAGGAGGAGGT